TCACTCAAGTTCTCCGCATTTACTAAACGAGCCTGTCTCTTCACAGAACATTTCTTTTAAATCGTATTCCCGCGACTCCGGCCATGGCGGCTCCGAGCAAGAAGATTCTCCCAGGACGCACAACACCCTGACACTGGGCCACTCCGGACGAAATCGTGGTGCAAGGGGCATGAACGAGAACAACGAGATCAGCGGCAACAGAACTACCGGCGGCGGTGGTGGCGGTAGAAGAGCGGCGATTCCGTACAAGCACAAATACACGGAGATCATCGACGGCCGCGCGAACGGACCGGGACATCATCAACTTCACGCCCATCACGGTCAACACGTGCACATTCCGCGAGATCTGACCAACGAGGACGAACCAGTGTACGAAGAGATCGAACGCGGTGGCGTCGGTGGCGGAGGCGAGATTCAAGTGTCGGACATGTCTGACGAGGACGGCAGGAGGCAGAGCGACATGAGTAGACAATCTTCGAGGAGTTACGGCGATCACAGGCCATTGATACCGTATTCACCTGCCGCCGATAGGAATCTGGTGCATTACGGGCAAACGTTAACGGATCGCGGAGGTGGAGGAGGCGGTGCTATACACTGCGACCCGTCTGAGTATAGTCCAGCGGTAGCGGTGGAGAGGACCTTGAACACTTGCTGGGAGAAACTACGAAAGCAGCAGGCATGGTACGAGCGAGGTGATCTGCCACGACTTCCGGCCAGCTACGGTATACAACCTCAGCACGATCACACGCGAACAGTAGCGGTCTTAGACGGCCACACGGTCGTCTGTCATCTGCAGCCGCAGACGGACATGTACACAGGCCGTGGGATGCCACCGCCTTCCTACAGCGAATGTTAGGACGCCATTGGTCGCAGGATCTTGTCGTCCTCTTCGTCTTCCTGCACGAGGACGATGGATACTCTCCTCGCTGTCGAGACGACACGCCGTCGTATTTGGTGACGGCGTGGTGATCGATGTATAAATTGGGAACGCGTTGTTTTAACGGATGTTAAGAGAGAAGAAGAAAGAAAGAGGAGAGTCGTGTTCCGAAAGGATACACGTTGGACGAAGATGTCGCGTAGGATCTCCTCTCTTCGTACACGACGGAAAGACGGTGGTTCGTTCCTGAAGAAAGCCACGATACGTCTCGGGGTTACGTTCAGCCTCAATGAACGAGGAGATGCGTATGTGTGTGTGTGCGTGCGTGCGTGCGTGTGTGTGTGTGTGAACGAGGACAACGCGTTTACTCTAGCTCAAAACGCGGACGCAACGGGAGATGATCGGCGAGGATTGTCGATCGCCGCGTATCTCATTTAGCCATATACATACCGGGCCGAATCGGAAGAAGATGGGCCCCACCTCTCCTTTGTTTCTGTTTCTTCGGGAATCGCGTGCACCAGCTTGTGGCCCAAATGTGGTCCACATGGCTCGATAGGACGTGTCTGTCGTCTCCAGTTCTATGAAACCGTGCGAGTGTGTGTTACGGAGGATTGTACGTAGAGCGTGAGAATTCGAAGAAGACAGGCGGGGACCTCTTGTTGAAGTTAATCGGTCGTCGTTGTAACGTCGAAGCCGTGTGCTCGGCTCCTTTTTTGTTTGGGATTGGCTCACTTGTAGAGAGAGAGTGGCGGATACGATGTCGTACGGAGAACGATAAAACGTGACGAGTCCTCTTAGGTTACTAAGATCTGCTAGGAGAACGCTGTACAAGAGCCCGGTGTTTCGAGGAATACAACGTTACATTGCGAACGACACAAACGAGAGATTCGTTAATTGTAATACGCTCGTAATAACACTCGAGCTGATCATTTCCTTCGCGTTCTTTCGGAACGATCCTCTCTCGTTTGACGTCGATTCGTCGTCCTCGAAGCACGTCCTCGTAAGCGTTGAGAGAAATCGAAGGAACGATCTTCCTCGACGGTCATCGTCGATGCTGAATCCTGCTCGTTAACGATAAACGACTCAAGGATGAAGAGTGAATTACAGAAGTACATATCTAGATGGATCGGGATAAGGTTCCCCCCACGAGCGGTGTAAAAGTCGTTAATTCGTTAACGAGCCGTGGAATCGACGTGAATTCGATTTGGATCCCCGATTGGGGATCGGCGACGGCGCGATAAAGGAATCTGAAGCCCGTGTCTCCTTTCAATGGTCTCGATTTTCATCGAGCCAGGGAGGAGACACGCACACACACAGAACGTTCGGTGACATATCGAGGATCGCTGATCGATACTGACCTCGTCCCACGAAACTCGTACGAGAAAAACTAAAGTTACTTAATCGATCGACGCTTATTTCGACTAATCAGTATCGCGTTACATTATAGTGATGTCGCATCGTAGAGTTACTTCTAAAAGTCGTCGAACTGCTTTCGTGCGAAAGAAAAGTTCGGTTTCGCGAATCGAATACTTGCAATACTTGGAGCGTTCCGTTAGAAGAAAGGAACGCGCGTCCATTCAGCGAATTTCGACGAGTAAAAATTCCGATATTTTCCTTGTAAAGGAAAAACGTAGGCCGCGGCTTTGAAGAGTACCTTTATCGGTCGTCCCAGCCAGCTCCTCACATTGTACATTGCTTTGGAACGTTACGTTTTAGTCCCAGAATGTTATTTTTATAAATAAAAAAATTATATATATATATAAATAAAAAAAAAAGGTATATATATACATATATATATAGTGATACAAAAGCGATTTTCCGAGCGACGTGGAAAAAGCGAAAAAAACTTAGTCACTGTTTTTTACTATTTTTTAAAGAACAAAAGGTATATGTCGTAACCGCGTAATCTAATGTGTAACTAAGGGAACCCGCGCGCTATTTATTTTTTATCATCCGTCGGTGTTATCTAATGTGTAATTAGCGGTTGTGTTTGAAGATCGACGATCGGGTCACGAGCGATTATTATTCGAACGTAAATACCGTTCGTGACATATCGATCAGTCTGTCATCGATCAGATCTATAGATCGCTCGGTAACCCAGTCGTCGAGTCAGGTGGCGAAATTTTATGCTTGCAAAAGAAAAGAAAGAAGAAAGATCCATGGTCGACGAACGAAAGCGTACATTCGGCGGACGAACTTCGGGCTTTCGAGACGCCATTTTGGCTCGACGTTCGTCTTAAACCGATACGACTGGAGAAAAATATGTTGGATTAACTAACTACGAGATTTTCTTTTTCCTCTTTCGAAATGTGTCCGCGAAACGCGACGAATTAAAAAAAAAAATTACCAAATTGTACTTAGACCAACGTTCTTTCGACGAAGTTGGTTCTGCAATACTCGGTGAATTCAACATACTCTTTCTCGCGGTCGCAGCAACGTTTCTCACATCGTTTCCTTTTTACATCTCCTATTATTTCTCTTTTTTTTTTTTTTATTTCGTTTTAATTTATTTCTCTGCTCAGCCGGGCCGGCCGTGATCCTTCTCTCCGGCAAATCGTACGTTAAGGCGAATTAAATCTATAGGCGAATTATACGTAGCGATAATCAGCGTTTAAGGGTACAAGCGTAGCTATTACTAAACGCGTACGAACGTTTCCTCCGACTTGTACGGAACGTAATTTGCTCATTCTGGCATCTGGCGTGAAAAAGGGAACCCGCTCGCAGGTTATCTTGGTTTGTTTCTTTATCCTTCGTAGAGATCCCGTAGCTTGAGACGGGGAGCAAGCATCTGGAAACCGTTTCTGTCCACAATGTTAAAGGTAGAACGAAGAAAATGTGTAAACGTGTCGGGTACGTGTACATATACAATATATATATATATATATATCATTTTCGAACGCCACGAAAATACTGCCGTCTCGTTTCTTACTCGTAGCGGTCGTCGCGTATCAGTCGTCGCCATTCGTTAAAAATCGTTCGTAATTTATCCTCGATTTTTTCTAACACATTCTTTCACCTTTCTTGGAAAAGACATTTTTCGTTCCACTTTTACATTCCTTCGTCGTCACGATAAGCAGCAACCCATACGCGGGATATCATTTTCGGTGAATCAGAGAGCAAGGCAACAAGGGTTTCAAGCGTCAAGCGGTATCGAGTCGAGCTAATTTCCCGTCGCCGATCAAAATAACGACAGAACGAAGTTTCGATAGGAATCAGACTCGCGCTACTTGATATATGAAACTCTGGTGCATCGCTCGCGAGCATTTAACAGAAAGACAACGTTACGATACGCGACCACGTTTTTTGATGTTCTTTCAATTCGTGAAAATTTCTACCGTTCGACGCGCGCTCCGATCAATCACAGGAGCGCAAGTCACTATATGTTACTTTCGTGATACGATGTTTCCTCGTGATGAAAATTAGCAATTTTTGTAACGTCCTCCGACTCCGCTGTCCACGACGCGACGGAACTTAGTTCTATACGTAATTTTGTACGAGCGAAAGGTCTTGCCCACGAAACGACTATTACCGGATATAATTGTAAACGCAGCCACATTCCATCCGTTCGACTTATCGTAATCGCGGGAGATAAAATGGGGGGGACATGGTGTACGAGCCAAGTAGACGGGGACAGCTTCGAGCACACAGTGCCTGGTGAATAGGCAATCGATTTACGATTTCTTTGCGCAATTCTCCTATGTCTGTTTTCTTATCTTTCCGTATTCTTTTTTGTGTCATTTCTTTTTTTATCGTTTCTTTGCATCGACAACGGCGTAACCGGCGGGCCACACTGAGGATAAAGAGGACACACTGGTATTGTCACGTCTCTTTAAGGATTTGTTGCGTGCGAAAGAGGAGAGATTGAGAGATTGTGAGAGAGAGAGAGAGAGAGAAAGCGTTATCGTCGGGAAATTCTCGAAGCGAGGTGTACATAATGTAAATAGGGCTTTGTACATGTTGAACACGTTGTAATGTAAATGGAAAAAAAGGGCGAAAGTAAGAGAAGCGAGAGGGAGAGAGAGAGAGCAAAAGATAGAGAGAGAGAGAACGTTACGTGTGTGCATGATGAATTGAGAGAAAGGGGTAAATGAATGAAAGAGAGAATGAGAGAGAGAGAGAGAGGGAGGCGACCGAGACGATCGATGTGAAAACCGAAAAGAATATACTAGATAAGACAAGTTACTAGTAAGTAGTGGATATTACAGTGACTATTATCGTGATGGCGGATGCGTGAGGCGGTTTAACTTAAGTCCCAAACGTAATTAGTTAATGTGTAAATAAATTAAGCGAGGAAGTAAAAGACGGAAAAAAAAAAATATTAAATGAGAGCCCAAGTAATCATTGGATATTTATAAACGATTCCACTAAAGAGAGGTAACGAAACAAATGACAGGAAAAAAATAAGAAAGAAAGAACGATAAATATGTAGGTTCGACGAGAGAAGGAGTGAAAAAAGAAACAAAAAGAAAACATGGACTCGAGCACTCGTCCCGTGCGTTAGGTTACTGTTACAGGATGAATGGGAAAGTTATGGGGAATGGAACAAAATGAAGAAGAAGAAGAAGAAGAAGAAGAAGAAGAAGAGAAAACAGAGAAGAAAAGAAAAGAGAAAGAAACGACGAAGGTAGACAAAAGAGAGAAGGCGAAAAAAAAAATGAAAGATTGGAGAAAGAGAAAGGGGAAGGAGATTAAGAATGGAAATGTGCGACAGTTAATCAGATGGACAGATATACACAGTGCATGTTTTATCCTTAGCCGTTTTATAAATATAAATATCCCTCCTCCCTTCCCCCCTCCCTTCTCACCGCCCCGAAAAAACCACCCAGCCCCACCTTCGACCCCGGGATATCTCTCCTCCCTTCTCCTCTTTTCACGCGACGAAATAAGCGCGAAGCTGATCTTCTCTCTGATCGAGTACACACCTGTCCGTACTGTCCAATCTCGAGATGTTCCTTTTCAATCGTGCGTGCTGTCTCTCCTTTACTTTTCGTCCCTGTTCTCCTGCCTGCAGCAGCGCGTCATGTAAAACGGGTCTCCGAACGAATCACGATCGTGTCGTCCCTCGAGATACTTAGCGAATAAGCTTTTTCGTTTCGCGTGCAGCAAGAAAAAAAGAGAAAGACGAGAAAAACGAAGAGAAAATGATAAAAAAAAAAGAAAAGAAAGAAGACAAAACGAATCGGAGCAGAGTAACGGCCAGAGAAAGAAAGTTTTTCGAGAAAAAAAGAGACAAAAGAAAAAAAAAGAGCGATCGCAGAGAATGAATCCGCGCGCGAGTTAGTAGGAACGCATTGCGTCACGGATCATTGTGCACCGAACAAAACACGCCCCCATCTGAAGAAAAATCCTCACACCGAAACCCTTCACCCACGAACCCGAGAAACGTCCCACGAGAATGTCGGAATATTTTTCGAATCGGCTTTTTTCTAAAACCTGTTCCACACACCCAGCGGTCGAATTTTTGCAGAATTTCGAAGAAAACCGGCGCGCGACTCATTGTTCACGTAGAATTCGCGACAATTCTGTGATCTTTACACCATTTATGTTCTCCCTTTGTAAGTGATATTTAGAAAAGAAAGCGAAAAAAAGGTATAAAGACGAAAAATGGGAGAAAAGGTAATCGAAACGCGGACACGATTTTAGTACGTAATTTACGCGCGTAAGTTTCCCGTGATTCATCGCCAGCCTGCGCACGCTAACAAAATGTAAAGGAAGAGGAAGACCGAAGAACAAGCAGAAGAAGAGGAAGAAGAAGAAGAAGAAGAACACAAACGAACAAGAAGAATGTAAAATCTAGGTATCTCCGATCTACTAAGAGCCTCCGTTTCTTCATTTTTGTATGCTTCTTTAAGACTGTCTGATACAGGAAAAAAGGATAAATAAATGTGTACCAATCTCTGAATAAAAAGTGTCTCATCTTTCTTTTAGAAGATCTGCTGATTATATCATTTTAACGCTCGACTCAAACATTCGACGATCTACTTAATAAAAGAGTATTTATTTCACAGCACCGTGTTCGATCAAACATTCGATCGTATCTTTTCGGTTGCTTCTTCGAGCCGCAACTAAAGGTGTCAGGTGAAACAACGCTTCTGCGTGCACGTCGATTAAATTATCCTCTAAAATGTATTTCACAGCTTCTACGTTTCCAGTCAAAGCAGCCACGTGTAAGATAGTCTGACCAACGTTGTCTGTCGCCCTTACGTCAGCTCCCAATCTTATAATTTCCTTCGCGGCGCATAAGTGACCTGCTTTGATCGCTTCGTGAAGAGGAGTGGATCCAGAGGAATCTCGCGCGCCCAAGAAATTTGAATTTAGCGCCACTAATCGATCGATTAAATGCTCGTGACCATGAAACGCTAGAAAATTAAACAATAAATTGAGTAACACGAAACGCAAGTACGTTTAATTTACACAGCACTAAAATATAATTAATAAGATAAAAAATTTAATGTTAAAATTATTACCGGCAATATGCATAGCACTGCGGCCATTGTTACTTCGATCTTCGATACATTGAACAGACTGATTCACCAATAAATCAAAAGTATTTCTATCTCCAGAACGGCAAATCATGTGCAACGGTGTCCATCCGTCTTTATTTCGCAGAAACAGATTCGCGTTTGCCTCCAAAAGCGCTGCGACGCATTCGTACGCCTCACTCCCGGTTTTCGTGCAGGCCAACATGAGCGGCGTCCAATCAGCGCGCTTCAAACAATCTACGGTTGCACCTGTAAACGTAGGGAATTTTTTAACCAACGAATTATTTTTGTAAGAAAGGGATTTTTATACACAGAAGAAGTACCATTTTTGATTAAATATTTGACAACGTCGCTACGCGCAAATTGCGCCGCCTCGTGCAGTGGTCTTTTCATATCTTTATTGGCCACGTCCACTCTGAAATCTGGTTTCTCGAAAGCCTCGCATAAATATCGAACGATATTCAAATGACCCTCGCGCGCTGCAACGTGCAACGCGGTGTCACCGGAAGTCGAATGCCGGAAGAGGGTCCAATCTTGAACGTTGTGTTTCGATACGAGGGTTTCCACTCTTGATAAATCGCCACTTTGACATGCGTGCAGGAAGTCCCGCGATAGGTTAGAATCCGTCATATTCGTGTATTTAACGAGACAGAGACTGAATACACGTTCAGATAGAAATAATCAAATGCTTTTTATTTACATAGATGGAAATGATTGATAAAGAGTACTTGGGAAACTAAACATTTGAATACACTTCCTGGAAATAGACGAAGTGACAGATGCTGCCGTCTCGCAGTGAATCACTAAACTATGCGGGCTTGAAGTAGCGCTATCTATGATGGGTAAGAGCAAACATTCGATGGCGGGAATCGATCGTATATTCGAAAAATGTTTATTTCAAACAACCCTCTGTAATTGAATTTTGAATAAATTAAAAGACGCGTTAAATTGATATTATTTCTACAACAATTAAGACACTTTTACACATCTATTCTTCTGTCTATTCGTTTTTGAAAAACAAATTGCATTTTAGTTCGATTATCGAGCAAAATCAACGAACCTTTTCATTTCAATAAATTCGGGTAACACGAAAATTGTTGTTAATAGCGCACAACTTAGCAACAGCAGGTCAACCAAGCATAGAACCGTTTTGAAAGTAAAATTAATCGTGCGAAACCTATCCCCGCGGTGACTCATAAGGATCTCGCAATTACAGCGTCATAATTGAATCACATGGAGCATGTGCGCGCTCGGCGAGCTTACGCGAGAAAAATAAACTCCTTTTAACTCGGCAAAGAAATAAACAAGCAAACAATGATGCGCAATCGCGAGGTACGCGCGTTAAATGACTAATCGGACAAGTTTTACACGTTGTGATCGATGCGAGAACGATTATCCGGTTGGAGGTTCGTTAAAAATTTAACGACGCGATAAAGAAAAAGAATGATCCGAGCAACAGAAGCTGACTGGCACGAAACCGGAGTGATCGTGATTTACTTAGAAAGGCAATCTCGTTTTTTCCGCGGAATTTCCATAACCGTTGTCTCGTGTCGAGATAACAACGGCGAACAATTAACCACCGATAAAGCGTTTCCGGGCTAGTTGTGCAACCGAGTGGGCACGAGTACGCGACGAGCATCGTGCATCGCGAGAAAATCGGTTCGCGCGAACGTTCAAGGTTCGATCAAAACCATCCACCTTTCGCTTCGATATAATTGCCGGACTGAAGACGCCTTCGTTCTTTCTCGTTATTTATCTCTACCTGTCTCGCCGGTGTTTCACAGCCTATCGGCGATGGCCTTGCGGCCAACCTGTACTACGAATTATCCTAATTGATCGCTGTTTATTGTGCATTGTAATATCTATGGAAGTGATCGCGGAAAAGAATTCCTCCACGCGAATGCAGTTCCTTATTAACTGCACGCGTTTCTATTACTCTTTAATCTAACATTCGAACGTTGAAATCACAGTTGAAAGAACAGATCGACGGATAAGTTTTGCCTCGATTCTAATCGTTCGAAGATCGATAACCACGGTACGTGTACGTAGCTGGTTGCATAGAATAGAATCGATCGAATACTTTCGAACGGTGTACACAGACACAGAGAGGGGAGTCCGTAGTTGAATAGTTACTCGCAAGCAACATTCTGTATCGTTTGATTATTACGTTTGCTCGTAAAGCACTGCGATGACGGCGGTACCAGCCGTGCGCCTTTGTCAGCCGTAACATCGACCAGCATGGGTATAATTCACCCCGCTGGTCTCGACAATCGATCGTCAATTTGCATACGACGAATCTCCTCCTTTCAACCCGCCGTTGCATTCAATCGCGGTGCGAAGATAATTTATGCAATGCAACAAGATTGACGTTCCTATCGTCGTCGTTGTTGTCCTCCTCTTGTTTTCCAACCAACCACTTCGTTTCGGTGAAGATTCACAGTTGAAACGTTACGTACGGATCTTCCGTCTATCGATCGGCGGGATCGATAACGATAAAGAATTTCCATTCCGAGGAGAATTAGCGGTAAACAGAGGAGGAGGAGCAAGGTAAGGCAGCTATTTTTGGTCTGACCATTAGCAGGTTCGCGTTCCAAGAGAATTAACGCTTCGCGCGTACCGCCCTAAAGGATCAAAAGAACGCTTATTACCTTCCGCTCGGAGATGTAGCAGCGGCTCGCCTCTGGTATGAAATACTTTTAGAGATACTTCTTTTCTTTCCTCCCTCTTCCCCCCGCCCCCCCCCCCGCGACAAACCCTCCGCGCGGATCGAAAGAAGTCATCAACGTTACGGGAGGAAGGGAACAAGGCCTGTAATAACACGTCATTTTCCACCAGACTGGATAACTATAATTTCATGCGAAATTGAATCTTTAATTGCGCGGATCCCATATGACGACGATCAGCTGGCGCCAGTCAGAAAACAGGAATAAATGAAACGTCGTGCGGCCGCTGTACACTCCGGCGAGTATATATCTCGCACACACGCGCAGAAGACGACGGCGGGGTTTCTTCACGTAGCTCGGCCGCTTCTGCGATTTCCTCGCGTTTTCTTCTCTCGCGTGCGCACACGGAAACGGCACCGCTTCCTATTCGAAAATAACACCTCGCTCGAGGTTGCCGCGTTGATTATCGCGAATAGTTCGCCACGGGAGAGAAGAAATCCAGCGTGTTTTCGAAGGATAAAAATAGATCCTTGAGAGGTGCGCGCGTCTGAGCAAGGATCTTTCTCGAAATTACCTTGCTCCGTTAAATATTCCTCAATGGAGATTACTGTTAAACCTCGGCAAGGATTAATGCGATATTTCTCGTTAAAGTTTATGCTTTCTGTTAAAAATATATTTTTCGCCACTGCGAATGCTTACAGGTTTTGCTAAGTGGAGAGATATTTGTGCGACTTTCTAATTGGGCGTAATTTAGATTAATTTGTATAATACCAGAGTGAGTTACACTAACAATACGTAATTTTAAAGTAGAATAAATTGCATGTCAATCCGATCAAAGTGTATCAATCCTAAAAGAGGCAACCTTGTGTGCTTTTTTTGTTTTAATTCCTAAACGAAACATTTCAGTTCAAATTTTCTTCTTCGCCCTAATTTTCGCTTCGCGACGAGAAACAGAAAGTCCCTGAAAGAAAAAGGAAAACTTATCAATCGCGCAAAACAGAAATATTCCACAACTCCACTCGTTCCCTGCGATCTATTATCGAAGATTTCCCCGCCTCTTTGCATTTCCTGTAAGCCACACCGTGCACAGGTGGGAACGAAGATTCGAATCAGGATGTTGAAACTGTCGCGCGCGTAACAGGATGTCTGACTCGCGGCGGCTGTTGGCTCGTTATCGAATTTCCTCTTCCCCCGTCAATTTCACGCCGCGATCGGAAATCGATCGAGGATCGATCGTCTCGGCATTGACCTTTCGAACAGCGTCTCGGTCAAGCGCGGCGCGTCCTTACGGAACCAAGAAGGAGAAAAAAAAACGAAGAAGAAGAAAAGGAAGGAACAGTCGATGAGTAGGCGGCGGTCGGTTGCGTAACCGCGCGCGATTCCATAGGAATTAAGCAACGATAAGCGTGATCAGCGTGGCGGTCTTGGCAATTGTTACTTCGCAGAAGCGCCATTACGGAGGATAATCGGCGGCGGGCAACGGGCAAGTAGAAAAATCCCGCCGCCCGTCAGACGATTTTGCGCTTAACCTTGCTGGAAGGTTGGACTCCGCGTGTAATTTCGCGATCCAGAGCTATGTTAATAGCGGACGGTAAAAAAGGGGGCGGTGTTGGTGGATGTTGAACGTTGTAAAATCGCTCCTATCCCACCGTCGTAGATCTCCTTTTTCGTTCCGTGATTTCACCGCGGGGAATTCTCATGATCGATAATTAGCAACGATAACGTTACGATCTTCTCGAGTGAAACCGTTTTCGTTACTTTTCAGGGGAATTAGGGGAATTATTAATGGGGGAATTGTACGGGGGTAGAGGAATTACGTAAGACACGTAGAGGAGGACGATCGACGAAAATGTAGAAGCAAGCAGAAGTACGCACCTCTCACCGAGACACGTAGCAAGTAGATCGTCGTCTCGGTCCTCCGACAAGTTCGTACGAGATTCTCCAGCGTGCAAGTTCAAGGCTCCGCGGAGCGATACGGATACCTACAAGGTCATCGAGTGTGCAAATATCGTGATTATAGCTGCTTACAGGTGCAGCAGCTTTCTCATCGTCGGCGATGAGACGAGACTGACGTAAACGAGCGCGTATCGAAAACTTCGAGAGAGAAAGAGAGATCCGTTGGAAGAATATCGAAACGCGTGAACGATAAAATTCGGGTGGTCGATAATTCCTCCAACAGGCTACGCGATGTTGGTCAATGGGAACGACAGAATTAATCATCGACCGATTACTCACGCTCGATCCCGAAATATCCCCGCTCGTGAGGAAAAGAGAGAGAGTGTCAGATGGAGGAGATAAGGTCCTTTCATTCATAAGACGTGAATCTAACGAGCTAGATCGAGGAACGCGTCATACCGGTTTCCGATTGACCGCCTTCTTAATTTTGTTCTCCTCTTTCTTCCTCCGCCAGGTGTATTTTTACCGCTGACTTGTCTCTCACAGTCGCAGATAACATCGGCTGTGCGTTAAATAAAATAACGATACAGTTGCCAACGACGTAAATTCCCACAAGGTGAGGTGAAAAGGAGAAAAAAAGTGTCATCACCCCGTTTAACTTGGTTGCAACAATCGGCAAAGCGATTAGGTCAGTGGTAACCTCCGCATTAGGGTCTCGGTTAGTCACCTTCTTTCCGCTGTTTTGAAACAACCCATCGAGTCCCCTATTGGTGGTAGATCTAATCGAAAGAATGGAACAATTGTTTCGAGGTCATGGTCGGATTGCACGCCGCGGAAAATGTGTGCCGTACGTATCGATTGGCTTCGACGAGTCGCGAACGTGCGCTTCGTGTCGCGCGAATCATCGCGATTGAACCGTCGGCGTCGGCGTCGCGTCCTCTCCAATGACGCCGACAATCCACGATGAAAATATCGATCGTGGGAGGGGACGATAGAGGCGAACCGCGTGTAATTATGCGGACTATTCGTTTGGCGGGTTCCGGTACCATCGCGTATCACTTTGCAAACATTCGAACCGATGCGACGTTATCGCGGCCATTCGTAAACGTCTTTCGTCGGCTAACGAAATTCCGTGCCAGTTCCGAAGACGGTTAATTGCTCGACCCAGTAGAACAGTCCCGGGGAACTTAACTTCCACCGACGTTAAATCGAAGTTACCACTAACAATCGGTCTCTCTCTCTCTCTCTCTTGCTCTAGCAACCTATAGAGTCACGATAGCGTAATTACCGGTCTAAGTTCGAGAAACAGAATTAATTCCACTCTACGTGTGCATGTGTTCCAAGAGATTCCACGCTCGAAGATCGAGTTTCCGTATGGAATTGGATTTACAGCCTGTCGAAAATTAATTGGCTATTCAAAGCTACTTCCGTGACTACGAGTGTCTTACTATTCGGCGACCTTGAGCGATCGATTGATTTTACACAGGCTATAGCTAGACCCGAAATGCATGTACACTTCGTTAGACTAATCCTGCGATACGAAATCGAACTCAATTCCTAGTAGCCTATAGTGTTAGATTTATCAGTCAGTTAGATCTAACAAAAATTAATCTAAGGCCTTGCTAGGAAGTATATATTACTTTTGTATACGTTCGGAGAAGTCTGTTTAGCCCTACCACCTCTGTTTAGTAAAGATCTAAATGTTTATGATACGTGACAAAAGGCCCTTCGGTTCCAAGCGGGGTCGTAGACAATATTAGGGCGTTGCGTAGGAGCATTCTCTTACCATCAAGTAGAAAAGCGAACCTTCCTTGTGTCTAATAAAAGTTTATAGTTTAAAATAAGGATTATTAATTATTTAAGAACCAATAACTCCCGTAATCCAATATATAGATCCATCTAAACCTCTTTAATCGATGTTCCATTAATTACATTCGTACCACAAGATGCTTAAATCTACTTCCGTGACTCCAAGCGAGGTGAAATGGAACCTCTTACTGTTCGGTGACCTTGAACGATCGATTGATTTCACACAGGACTAATCCTGTAATACCAAATAGGAATCCCTAGATCCCCAATATATCCCACGTTCCGGCTCCCTACTCCGTCTGAATCTCCGGCGAGAGGAGTCAAGAATCACGTACTCCGGAGGCCAGAAGAAGCAGAAAACCCTGCTCGACGGCAGACGCTGCAACATTCCAGGCCGCGAGGACGGTCCGTTGGCGGGAGTCAGGAGCGGGCGGCGAAAGGGTGCGTCGAAACAATTCCCCGGATACACCTGATCGCGGCGAGCTCCGAGCGTTTCCCCATGAGCGCGGCTGTGAGTCAGGTGGGAGGTGGAAGGTGGAGTTACGGGTGACGAGCCTGAGCACACGGCTTGGTGAGGCGGCCTCTGGTAGGGGCCCCTGGCTTCGTTGCGTACCCTGGTAACATTGGACCCCCACTTGCGCGTTCCCAAGTCGGAGGCGCATATACGACGGCCCGACAACGACAACGACGCCGACCGGCGACCATCATCCGTCCTAGCGTCTGCAGTTGTTGCAGTCGGCCACCGGCGCTCACCGTCGAGCACGCGACCACTCTCGTTCCCAACAGTGGTAGAAATACTAGTAAAAAAAGGGGAATTCCCGGCGTTTTCCTCATTTTCACCGCGCAACCGTATATACATACCTGCCGCCTAGGTAGGCGCGTGTTACGATAGTGAGTCACAGGTGCCACGAAGCAGACTGGACGAGAGAACGATCGG